ATGGCGGGGCCATGGGATCACCAATGGGGCCGTTGTTTTTCGGCTTATTCACTTTTTATGACACCTTAGTGTGATGAACAGTAGATGGGGTAAACCCATAGGCACGCGGACCTGCTGTTCAATGATGGAAACCGGCAACCTAAGCCCCGAGATTTGGAGTGCCGAACCATATAAGGCCCAGCTAGGCTAGGCGTGGTATTGAGGCGGACGACAGCAAAGCTACCTACCATCAAAGTTGGGTGGTGATGATGGGGCTCGAACCTCTGACTATAGGGTTCAAAGCACGCAGGTGACTGCGCCAATGGCACCTGGCTAAACTAGAAAATGAATCATTAATCAAAGAATGTATGTTGTTTTTATAAAGTGGACAAAATTCTTTGTGGGATTGATGCCATTGCCGAGAAGGACATGCTAGTGATTGAGTTTAGTCTAGTCCTTCAGGCAAAAATTTATAGTGGAAATGGAAAATAACAGGAAGGTGGTTTATTTGAACGGTTTTCTGAGTCAGATTATATGGGGCATGGCAACGGTCAGGGAGTAGAAAGTTAATTTGGAAAAAGCAATACAATAGAAAATTTACCCAGTTGGTGAGAAAAATCTCCAGCAAGGTCATTTACATTACTTATGAGTAGTTGATGTATTTTCGCTACAATTATTAGCTTGAGAGCATGTCGACCAGCAAAAACGGTACAAACGACGCCAAATAAATATTGATCTAGAAGCTCATGGAATTAGGTGCGTAACAATATTCGTCACTAATATAACATCAAATTCATGGTATAAAAATGTGCCGACACTGGTTAACAGGGGTAGGGTTTACGAATATACTCCAAAAAGGTCTCAAAATAATTTAGGAATGTTTGAGATGCCAATCATATTACATACGACAGTGGTCCCACATGTCCCCGACGGATACGTTCCTCAACGGGAGCTTTATCCTGATTCAGAAAGCTTCAAAGCTTTTGGTACGAACATCGGTCCCAGGATGTATAAAACCGTATGAACGATTTACGCGCATGTGGACATACTCCAAAGATGTGAACGACCAACCAATAAACCGTCCATTGGTCCGCGTGGATCCCGGTGCGATCTACTGTTGACGATCAGAAGAATTGTGTCTGCAAATCGGTTTTCCACTGGTCGGAGATTTTTTTCAATGTTTCGTTATATGTTCATGTTGGTGACAGTCTACCGCTGCCGTATTCGGTCTTGACAAAAGCATTTTCATCAAATTCAACAACAATCCCAGGACCACAAAGCTGGGTAGTCAGCGACGGCAACACTGGGGAGGATACGAGGCGGCAGTAGGTTTACCACTGCATGGCACTCCTCGTAGGAGCGTTGGCATCGCCATAACACGTGTTACCGATTGCTCCATCGAGAACTACAATGCATTCCATTATTGGGTCCAAAGACATACGATTTCTGGAAAAATATGCCAACGTGAGTAGAAGTGCGCTTGGCACACTTCGTACACTGAAATTTATATCTATCCAGGCGCTCACCTTACTCCAACATGTGAATGTTCGCAAACACATTTGTGNAATCCCTCATCTTGCATACAAACCACAAAAGCTGCACCTTCAAATGGGCGTAAGGAACGTCACATGTTAGAACCGGTCGACATGCTCTCGAGGTCACGATTCAAAACAAAAATGTCCCAAAAAATCACCTCACCTAAATGTATATAAAGCATTATGAGGAAGAAAAATATTATAAACATCACTAAATTAAAAATAACGCAAATTAACGAATTTTTAGGTGGGGGAGGGTTCTGGGTAACTCTCGACAACCATTTTACATGATTCGGTCCTTGGGTTATTTCCAACTATTTTTTCATATGCAAGAGTTGCTTTGTTGTTTTGTTCGATATAACGAACGGTGGAGTTACTAGTTAAAAACACTCGTTTGGAAACGCAACCGAATAGTCAAAAAAGCGGTCCAAATTACTATGTGGCAGTTCCAGGAGATTTAGGAATCACGACAATACTAATGGTAATTTAAATTAATTCGTCGTGGACATTTGAGGAATCACTTAGCTTCGGTCCTTCGAAGAGTTTATTGGATGTTTTCCACAGTAAATTCCACAGGCAAGAAGTGTGCCCAAAATCACGAAAGAAGGTCCATGCATAAAGCCCAAATGGATGTAACAACGAGGGACTCCATTCGAACTGACTACTGACAAACATTAAAGCAGACAAGTGCTGAATATGGTTATCTGAAATTTGTCCCATTTTCTACTGTACGAACTATGCACTTAACGCACTTAACGTGTAATCTAAACGCAACTGACCTTCCGGAATCGTTCATAATCCAGCAGACGCGGATACGCTGTTATCCCGGCTACGATAAGTTTGGGGTGGAAATGTTGCGCATCTCGTTCCAGTGCGTCGTAGTCAATGAGCTCCGTGGTTGGCTGCAACAGGCATAGAAGCAAGATAAAGTCACAACGGTGTCGAATAAGGGATAGGCATTTCATTGAAAATACAATATAACGCACCACATTGAGTACTCCCTTAAAGCTCCTCGTCAAACTGACCTTTCTGTCAATCTTTCGACCTATCATAATCAGAGCAATTCGTTCACTTTAATTTACAAAAAAATATTAATTGCATACTCAGGGAGGTCGTGGTCAATGGAAGACTGTCAAACTAGAAATAGGGATGTTGAGCGATGGCAAGGGAATTCGAAAACGCACTGCGAGATGAACTGTCAGATCATGTCACCTGATCGCCACCCAGATCCCATGGAAGCTTTCAAAATCACTGGATGTTTTGACACTATGAACAGTATAAAACTAAAAACTAGAAGAATCTTGGTGGTGTTGTTCAAATTTCATCAGCGCTCAGCGATAGGACAGTGGAACGGACCGGAACAAACGTTTGATTCAATCAATCAGACGAGGTATTTGTTACCGTACATGTAGAATTTTTTCACTGAAATCAGTAATTTGACAAATCGTACGTGCGTACAGGGTTATACATGGCCCAATGTAGATCACCTTCCCATTCATTCCAGCTTTAGCTCGGTATGAACAAATCGGTGGCGACTATATAGCGTGTCCCGGAGTATACCACTGAAGCGATTCGATACGGTTGCAGAGTATCGAGTTTGCTTAATATGCACTACCATATGAAATGGAAAGAACCAGTATAGTAGATCAACTATGCCCGTCAGTAGTTTATCGCAGTTGGAAGACCGCTGAGCAATGAGAAAGAGAGAGCAGTTCGTTAGTCATATTTGGCACTTTGAAGAAGAAACCGCTGTCAGAGGTTGTCACAAATTATGCCACAGACAAGCATCTACTCTGTGCATGTATTTATATGGACAATTCAGAGGTTTATGTCACTGTCACCGGCGTATCCTATGGTCTGAGGTTCGAACCCTGCCACCGCCGCCAACCTTTGGTGGTGGGCAGCTTTTTTGTCAATGGGTTCAAAAACACGCCTAACCTAGCGGGGCCCTAAGTGGTTCAACCCTAGTCCCAAGTCCAGGGACCTAGATTGCCGGTTTCAACCACTGAAGCAGCGGTTTTTCGCGAATATTGGGTTCACTCCACCTGCTATTCATCACACGAATGTGTGCAAAAACATTACCATAGGAATAAAGGTCGCTGTTTTTTGAAAATCTCGGTGTTGTACCCAACTTAAGACTGNCTGTCTATAACTTGATTCCACTGAAGCAGATAGTTTGGCTGTTTGCTGTGTCGTCAGCGCTGAGACGATCAACAGTCACTAGCATCATTTGTGGAATTTAACAAACACCGTCCTGCGACTTTGATGTTGGGCGAGTGTAGAGCAGCATCTTGTCCGAACACAGTATTTTAGTATGTGCAAAATACCTAAATATTATAAGGATCAAATGAAAGTGAGACTACTGACGGCATTTATGGAGAATTTGTTGTAATAGCTACTCGAATAACGAGCAAGATGATCGATTAGCGTAATCAAACTTTTATACAAGATGCTTTTTCAGATCATTGGACCGAAACAGCCATGTAACTAGCAAGTCATAAAGCCCATTTGTCCATCGATTGGAATTGCGTCAAAAAGAATTGTACTGTTCGAAACACGTGATCAAACACGAAGATAAGGAGTGCGTCGATGGGTGCAGTAGCTTAACTGAATAAGTATATGCTATAGGAGCCACCCAGTTATTCTCGTCCACAGGCGAAAATAAACGACCTGTTCATGGCATGAAAATCTACAAGCGAGCACGACTCTTTCTAAGCGAGAATACATGGATCCAGGCGTTTGGAGGGAGTTACTGTTAGCAAAGCTTAAGATAAAAATGGTTGGACATGGTAATGTGACCGTGATTAACTACTGTTAGCCAAGAAACTGTTGGGGAGGGGCAATGGGTGGAACGCGCATGGGAGGATGGATAAATCATTTCACCAATGGTTTGAATTACGTGCATACCCGGACACTGTGCGCGAAGCGGCTCATCATGATGACTCTAGTAAACAACCTGCACACTGTGTGGATAGATGGGTGTGATTCAGAAACGCTCGGTGCATCCGGTGAACAATAACTAGCGATATTCACGGGTTGCATATCACAAAAATCGTCTGCGAAACAACTGGCATTTGAAATCTCATCTATCAAGCTGTATAAATAGATAAAACCACGGAAGTCATCATCTGTGGCCAAGGCTAACAGTGAACTTTGCAACAGAACCGGAAAGTGACCAATGAAGAACCGATGTGTCCATATGCGAATCCGCAGAACATAATAATAATAACCCGCAAACGTGTTTTCAGCATAATGACGTAATAATACAGATAGACAGATCGCACTTACGTTTAATCCATAAGGCATAGATTCAAAGAAGATAGACGTGGCACTAATCTTCTTGGTCAGTGTGGCAAATCCATGGGTTAGATGTCCACCGTCAGGTAGATGCAAACCCATGAGGCGATCGTGAGGGTTCAGGAGACCGGTATAAACAGCTAGATTAGCAGGTGACCCACTGTACGGTTGCACATTCACTCCCCATTCGGCCTCGTCCAAAGGCTGTCCAGGCTGCTTCAAACCGAACAACTCCAACAGACGATTCTGAGCCAGAACCTCCACTTTATCGATGACCTCATTACCACCGTAATAGCTGGACAGAAAATAACACAAAAGCTTGGGAATCACCGGTAGGAGCAATAAGTGATGATAGGTCAGAGGCAGAACAAACCTCTTCACTGTACTGGAAACAGGCCAGAAGTGTGTTTTGCAATCTGTTAGATCATTAGGAGTTTCAGCAACACAGTATCAGCTGTTCGCCTATCCAGATACCAGACACTCAACACGAAATAGTCGCAGGATGTCAATGCTGGGAAAGGTAATTCACGAGAACTTGAGGAAATGGTAGGCAAATATCGGTCCAAGAACGCTTAGTGAGTCAATTACGGCAATGTTAGAAGCCTCTTTGAGTGACAGTATCACTGAGAAAGCAAAAAATGTGCTCAACATTTGAATTCTCGTATTGAAATTGATGAAAACAACTGTATATAAAAGTTCGGGCATGATCAGGGGATAAATAAGCAAGTGAGAGAACAACGCTATTGTGGTAGAATCAGCGTCGACTGGTTTAGGCCTACATGCCAGGAGGAAGATTCGCATCAGCTTTATTCAGACTGAAATAAACAGGTCTTGTAATTATTCATCGCGAAGAATATAAAGTAGACTACAATAGATAGTATAGAACTAGGACGATAAAATTTAACAGAACACCACGACCCGCTGCGTGTTTTCAACCCTTCAAAAGGCATGCGCGTTCAGTAAGCTTTTTTCAAGTTATTTTTAAACTCCCGACGTGAATTATACCACAATATCCTAACTTGCATCTCGCTCAGTCACTTCGATATAAGTTAACATAAAAGAATCTCTAAGAAGACTCCACGATACTGCTTTGTGAATCATGTAGGTCTAATATGAACAAACTTGACATCAAAGCTGACTTTGAATGATTTATTGAGGTTCAAAGAACGGTCACCCTTTCATTCTTTTTTTCTTTTCATTTTACTTCTTTTTATTGAATATACAATGATGAAATTTTCAGGAAGGGGGAAGCGGCCAATCAAAGGGCTGCCATCCAACACACAAAATGGAAAGTCAGGCGGTGGTGGTGAGATTCGAACACACATCCCCGGGGTGATAATTTGGTGACGTCACCACCGGGCCACCACCACCACCCCGTGCACCTTCGAATGCATTTTTGTTTGAGCGTTATTGCTCACGGCTACCACGATTAGACTGATTTCGAGGTCCTCAATCAAGGAGCCTAGCGTGACCAATATGACCGAGTCCCCTAGCCAAGCCCTTCATACCCGCATGTCACGCTCTCGTGACTCTTTTCCACCCACAACCTGCTTCGGCAAACATTGCACGTAGAGCTGACGCGTTTAACACATGCTTCGGTCGAGGTAACCTGTGAAGATTAGGTACTTGATCCAGTCTTCGCCTAACCACAGCAATGCTTTTGGTAGTCCTAACAGACTGATACAATGCCGCGATGTTCATCTCCCGTAAGGGTCAAGTTTGTGCACCATAAAACAACACTGACTGGATGCGCGATAGCACGACAGATGCCTCAAGTTGGCAAACGCCAAACAAGCTTTCCGTACGTGTTCAGACACTTCATTCGTGATGCGTGTGTCAGGGAAACGGATCAACGGCTGCGAAAGTCATTTGGTTTAGCTTGCCGCATCATGAAGACAAGTAATTCATTGCATCACGTCAATATGCAGTTACGTCGTGATTGATCTAAAAGCAGAGTTTTTTGCTCCTCTTTCGCATCATATCCCAATGATGAATTCAGCAAGTGTAAACAAACACACGGGTGGTCCATAACAGTATAGAAGGCTGGAGGGGACAGAAAGAGCAACTTTACAATGTCTTTCAAGATTACCTCAGCATAATGACAGAAGTTTAACTAATTTTAACAGTTCCCTCTAGTTAGGTGCACATTTAGTCAATCGCTGTCGCATACTTTAGCAAGGGCACGAACTCCACAGATGACTGTCAGAGGAAACCTAACTTTCCCCTGAGAGTTCCCACAGTGTCAATTTCAAATGAACACAGAACAGTCACCCTAGTGGGAAAGCACCGGTGTTTTCTTGAATGGGATGGATTCGTGTGGTCCACAGTAACGGATGGAACACTGCAATTTGATCAATCCATTCTCTTCATTGGTGTTCTCGTATTTTCCATCCAGGGAAACCTAGGCTGCGCACGAATCTATACATATAGCACGGTTCTCCATCAGCCACCGCACTTTTCCTGGCACTACCATTATACGCTCTCATTGTTTATAACTGTCTTTTGACGGGAATCGCTTTTAACTTAATTCATCATTTGCGCCATCGCGACATCCCGCTGTCTGTGAACGGCCGAGTATAGGCTGCAGTGGTTGGGCCAATGCTTGTATACCGCGCAGCCTTGACCATTACGGGGACAGGATAAAGAAAAACCGCTGTCTACGCAGCATGGCATAGATTTGGTGGGGCAACTGAACAAGCGATGTTGTGGTTCGGTTTGATGTGATCATAGTTGCACACAGGAGTAAGTGGGTGACATCCATAGGTTATCTTGATTGGGGCATGTATTACGCATAACATCAGATAGATCGTAGTAAGCATGTCCGAGCTATAGCAACCGTCGGATGGTGAAAATCTAATCAATGCATCCACGGCCGGTGCGAAACCCAGCCTGCTCTTCGCGGACGTGCTCGGCAAGAGCAGAGCTGTATGCTACCGAGCGGGTCCCCAGGTCGCGGATACGGGGACGGCCGCTAACTCACAGTTAACCTTGAATAAGGTGGATTTATTCTCAATGAATAAACGGTCGCGAACGATCGGCCGCAGTGCTCGAGGATTCGGTGGGTTTACTTTTTAGTAAGGATTCTCCACACAGAAGACCATATATATCTTATGACTGTGACGTGGCGAGCGTGGTTCGCCAATGAATACGGCCACTGCCTTTTTGTTGAATCCCATCTACCCGACAAGGTTTTCCAGAAAAGGTGAATGAACCAACCGACTGGTCACCGGCTCACCTGGAACAATACCGCTGCCTTGTAGCACGCGTTTGGTTGCGCAAAGGCCAGAGTGCACCCTCCAACAAGACCTACTCTGGTCTGGGCTACCAAGTATTACTACAGACCACAATGTGAAAAAAAAATGAACTCTAACTTGCCCAAGGATTCGCTCGTACAGCCTTCCTCTCTCAGAGAAAGACGTTCTACATCGTGCTCATATTCTTATTTTACAGTTTTTCCTCCACCTCACATTCACCCCGCCCCCTCAAACATTTCCAGTGTCGTCAGGATCTTCAGACGATCGTACTACCAGTTGTGCCTTAGATGGAATTTGACTCCTATTCTCTCGCGTCCTGCCTCAAATAGCGTCCAAGTCTCACCGAATTCCTCTCCACCAGTTGAAGCTCTTCTTCGACCTCGATACCCGTTCAAACTAGCCACCTTTAACGTGCATAATCCGACTCGTGTAGGACAACAGGTATGTTTGTCTTTTACCCTCGAGACCCTAGCCACCGATGTGTGTTGTGTCCGAGAAACTCGCATTCAGGACTCCAGCTCCATTTTACGATTGACATCCCCATCAAACCCATCCGCTAAGTTTCACTTGTCTTTCTGGGGACCCTGAGGCTGCAACTGGCGTTGGCGGAGCTCTTAGTGAGACAGCTGAAGCCATCCTCCTGTATTGGATCCCATTCAACAGTAGGTTGAACGCAGTAGGACTCAAAGTCGAAGTTTTATGATGGGCATTACCTACAAGCAGATGCTTTCCCTGTCTAATAGGGTGTTTACACGAGTTGAATTGTAACAATGATGAACAAAATTCCATATGATGTATTCCGTTGTGTTATGTGTGGTCATGGATGTTGGAATGCAATGTGTTAATGATTCGTCAAGTTTTACCTTGAAAGAATCAATCGCCTTGGCACAAACGGCATGAGATGGTTAGGAATTCCAGGCAGTGCACACTTTGACGGCGAAGGCATGACGTCGACAGTCCAGTCGAGATTTTTGGAGTAGTAACTTAAACGGATGTCCCCGTAGATCAATGTTTGACGATAACGTCAAAAGTCCGCGACAAGCGTGGTATGGGTTGTGTAATATTTGGTACACTAAGTCTCCTCGAATCGGACGATACTGAGCAGAATATAGGCCCAATGACTGAAGTCTCCCCATGTATGAATCTTAATAGAGTCCTTTGACCATCTTCGCGGAGAGCCTTCGTGGACGCTCCAAAATGTATGATCACCTTGTAACCATGGAATCCAAGTTTGCATGGTATACTCAAAATGCTACCGGATGTATCCTCACAACAGACGTGAAAATAAAGAAGGTTCAAAACGACCGAAAACACGTTTAAGTAGACCAACATGTTTGAGTGCTGTTAATGACGCACTGGCACAGTTAACAGAACGGCTCAGGTTTACGTGGCCTATAACAAGCAAGTCCTTCTCTGGTGACGCAAAAGGAAGTAATTCGTTGCCAAGGAAATAAAGAAACCGCACATAGTGGCGTGGCGAAATGACCTTGCATTTGGAGACGTTAAAATGCTTGTCCTTCTAAACACATCATATGTGAAATCTATTCAGTGTTTCCAGGAGTTAGAGCGAAACTACAACTATTGTCACTGTCTTCCAAATTTTGATATCATAAACATCACTGAACGCTGCCAAACTCGCAATACATACAAAGTTAGTGGTAAATTT